ACAACGTATAATTTGACAACTTGCTGTCGTCTGGGATGAAAATGATTAAAAAAAAACCAATTTCGAAAAACCGACATTTTACCAAACATATCGTAGGTACTAAACTGCAGTCTCCCGAACCAAGTTTAGATAGTGGTATCATATTATTGTCAGTAGGTTATGCTAAAGTTAATATTTTATAGCTGGTATTGGAGAAACCTTACTTGAAGTCGGAATTTTATCATCTGCAATCTTTAAAAATCCGTCGGTCGAAAGAAAAATTTATATTTTTTTATTATTTTTTGCGTATCCATCTCATTTTTTCTCGAAAATCTCTCTGGCTGCGCCGGCAATAGTGTATTATAATACTATGTATAATATATGCAAAAAGAGATAGAGATAATAAATAGAATAACACGATTATAGTATAATATACAAGAGGAGAAAAAGATGAAAAATCAGACTCCGCACTGCTTGTGTAGACGACGGGGGTATGCGGAGGCGTCGGCGGGGAGGGGGCTGTCCCCACCGCGAAAATCCCTTTGTCCCGCCCACCGGCAGCGGCATATAGGCACCACGACGACGACACGGCCGCCGCCGCACATAAGCCACCCCGGCCGGTCGTCGGCGGCGGCGGATACACATATTGTGCACGTCGTCGCGCGCGCACACACGCACACCGTTAGTCGTGCTCGTCGTCGTCGTCGTCGTCGTCGTCGTCTCGTCGTCTCGTCGCCTCTACGTCTCGTCGTCATCGTCGTCGCACATCGCATCGGTCACACGGTTTCTCCCCCGCTCCCCCCCAAATTATACACCCCCTCGCGACTCGTGTTCGTCGCGTGCGTGTTATGTGCCGGCATGGTGCTAGGCGGCGATTCCGTTGTCGGTGAACTCGGCGCGGCCGCCACCAAACTGGACCCGTCCTGCAACATCGGGCTGTTCTCCGCGCTCAGGCCGGCCATGGACCTGTCGACGGCTGCGTACCGGTACAACCAGAACATGATGGAATACTACACTTGTGAGTACCGCGAGTAAATCGTGTGTAATGTTGTACGATTTCGCAGTTCCCGTGTACCGGACGGTAAACGGTATATCGCAATTTCGTTGGACCTAGGTTGTCTCTTATTTCGTTGCCAGAGTTATGATGGCCATATAATATAATCTACCTAACATGTAATACTTGTGAAGTTATGTCCAAGTAACTGTAGATGTCTTGATGTCTAAACGATTCGTTTCGAACGAATATAATATAGTGCAGTAAAAATGTGTAGGTCCTTTGCCGTGCGTAAACCTTGTTGGGGACGTTTCGTCCTGCTTATAATCAGTGTCTCGATATAATAATACAGGCCTAAAGACACAGTGATAAAATATCACAAATCATGAATTATTGCGGTTCACACGCATATTATATACTTATAGTGTGTTTGTATAAGTCCTAAAATATTTGGTGACAAAAATGTCATATTTCCAATACCGTTATTATGTGATGCCAGTGGCGCACCCGATCACAGTATAAAAAAAATAATTATTAATAATATAATCGTAGATATAGTTTAAAAGTAATTAATGGACTTGAGACCAGAGTGGAATGGAGAAAGATCTATGATCTAGATCATGCGTATATGGCAGAGAAGAGTGGATGAAATTAATATTGACTGCAAAGGGCCTAGATAGTCAGTAAAAGCAAAAAAAAAAAAAATGAATTTTAATCGTATCTTATGTATATAACCACTGATATTATTGTGTTTTCATTGGCCAGTTCGACTATTACATACACTGTGCACGATTTGATTGACCTACTGTTGTTGTGTAGATTACCCATTACATGCGATTATTCACGCGCGCACCGCAAATATAGGTAATATATAGGTAATACATACCCCCCAAAAGTTATCAAAATCGAAGGCAATCATACGACCGTCTACTGGGAAGACGACAATATAGCGATATCTTACTCGAAATATTATTGTGTGTTTGTTTTAATTCTGTCGCAGAGGTACACTCGTACCAATTAGCCGGAAAAAAAAGCGCTCGGGCTTGATTGGCACAATAATAATACAACGTATGCAACTGTCCTGGCACGATATTTGGTACCGTCCAATTAAGATTACTTCGCGGTCCATTCGGGTAGACGACAACGGCTCTTGATTGTCTTGTAGACCGGACAAATATTCACTTTTGTATCCCAAAAATAAAAGATTTAATTAACCACAAATTACCGAAACTGCCGCTGTATGGGGATCATCACTGCAGTTGAAGCTATTTTTGTTGGTCTTTGCTTTTGTGTGTTTATCATGCCAGTATACATTTAAATTTAAATTGTATTAAAATTTTAAAATCGGTCGGACTCGACTTATAATTAAAAAATAAAAATAAAATTAGTTTTTCAGTTAATATACTGAACAATAAATTACTCATTATTTTCACTATAATCTAAAATTGTAACATTTTCAAAATTCAGAGTAACCGGTATCGTTCTGTCATAACATATGTTACTTAATTATACTTAAGTTCAAGAAATAGAAAATTTAATCAATCGACGTTAGGCAAATGTACTTATTTTTCTAATCCAGTAAGTATCCGAAGTAATTCGTTGTAATATCGATAATGATATATCATCATCATGATTATATTTCAGACACGGGGCGACCAATATAAACATTGCACACACATCAAGTGGTGTGCGCGCGCGTGGCCCTTTAATCGACACTCGATTCTGTAGGGTAGATTCATTAAAAGCAACAAGGGCGAGTAATCCCAAAGGGCCAAACACTCTTAACAGGGATAAAACTGCAATCTCCGTGTTGGAAAAGTTACTGATTGTTTTCGCAACAAAAACCGATCCAATGTGGGCAGTTTATCTTTTAATGCACACAACATAGCTCGTTTTTTTACGTCTATATCGACCACCGGAGTTCACGTATTTTATTATTTCGTTTTTTTTAATTGAATTGTATACGCGACTCGAAATGGCAACGATACAAAGTTTCGTTAGACGGTGGCGGTACCTAAAAAGTAAATAAAATATAATATATATGGTATATGGTACATACTATACATAGATTGGTATATAAGTTTATTGTAGGTACACTACGATATTGATGTATCCCATCGTGTATTGTACCTGGTCGTATACATTTATCAGTTTATCACCTATACCAAATATATTTTTGTTCCATAATCTATACGCGATTTCAGAATTGTTGAACATTATTGCACTGCTACATTATTGTACACTATATTATTGAGTAGCGTTCGATTCGACCGCGGTATGTTTACGGGTCGTCGCGATCGAGTGGGCTCTTCACCGGACACAACAAGCGAGCCGTAGTCGCGTGTACCGCGTATAATATAGTAGGTGAGTATTACAAGTGCTGCAGAGGTGCCGGCAGTTGTAGTAGTAGGTATATTATTTACGCGTATATATAAATATAAATTAGCGGAGGTTTATTGTTTTCACGGCGGCGCGGAGACTCGAGAGCCACAACATGTCGACCCTTAATAGCCACCGCCCTCTTAACCCCGTCGTCGGTGCTCGAGGATAATCTGCTTAATTCGTCGGCCGACCCCCGCAAAGCCCCAAACGAGATTATCTCGTTAGACCATCTGATACGCGGGCACACGACTGCGGGTAGTTTTGTTTGTAATCGTAAACGCCACGTACCACACCCACAAGCACACACATACGAGTATCATTATTATTATTATACACAAACATGCATTTCAACACACACACACACACACATACACACCCACACACGTGCAAACGACCCAGCACGATAGATTTTTCGTACGATATTCGTATTATTATTATTATTATCACTATATACAGATATACGGTGTTATTATATTGTTGGCCGGCCGAACCGGACCTTTTCACACTTTTCGACCGTCCGATTCGGACCGTCCTCCGACCGCCACTCATTATGTACATTATTATTGTGTGTGTGTGTGCTCGTTGTAAACAAAATGATTGTATTAAACCGCCGCACGCGCCCTTGCAACAATGCGACCAGATGTTTTAATTAAAACGACGGGCTTAAATGGCACCCGTAAATAAGTGTACACAGCGATACGATTACTATTATTATGTATAATTATTTTAAATCATTATCGTATATTTTTATAGCGTAATAGTACACAAAAAATGTATTTAATGCAGCCAAATTTGTTTTCCCGCAAGAGACAGTAAACCGAAAATCGATCATTATTCTTTATTATTATAATGGTATATAGTACCGTTTCCATCATATCCAATCGTCATGATAATAATATTGTCGTTGCACAAATATTATACCGCGGTTGCAGTCACACGTATAATATTATAATATATAGGTACCTGCCTATTATAATAATATTTTTATTGTTTTTAACGTCACGTCGCGATGGGGATAATGGTCGTCGCAGTGCAACAATTGCGTGTGAAGTGGACGTTCGGAATGTACACCCAATGTGATATTATAATAATAATAATAATAATAATAATAATAATATATCATATTAGCGGATAAAAAACCGGGACAATACGTGATTGCGGTATATACCTATAATAATAATAATATGTACGCGCGACAATCGTTCGGCGTATAAGTATACTTAGGCGTATGTGTGTAATAATTATCGGTTTTTGGCGATTTTTTTTTTTCTCGGAGTTTTGCGGTGTGATATATATTATACATGCGTTATGTATATGTATTTTATATACATAACATGGCATCCGATAATAACCTGTGTATATATATATTATATACGCGAAGACGGCACGATAACAAAAGAATAACGCGTTGATCGAATCGTCGTCGTGTAGGTACTCGTGTACCCGTACAACGATAATATTATTTATATACAGTACCTACTGCGATATATATTATTGTTGTCCACGATATAATATATTATAATATATATATAGGTACATAATAATATTTAATACTTGAAATCGATCCTTTTGTTTTGTATAATATCTTCGCCAAGGCTATTTAACGTGTACACACTAACAGATTATTATTTATTGTCGTTCGCAGGTCACGGCGGTGTAAATCAACTGGGCGGAGTGTTCGTAAACGGCCGACCGTTACCGGACCTGGTCAGGCAAAGGATAGTGGAACTGGCTCACAACGGGACCAGACCGTGTGACATATCCAGACAGCTAAGAGTTTCTCACGGATGCGTTTCGAAAATCTTGTCCAGGTAATATAATTATTGCAAAACAACGGAAAAGCGATCGTTTTTTCCAATCACCTAGTATGGATCGAACTGTTTTGCATACTATAGTACTGTCCTGTGTCCATATCAGGGGTCATCAATTAATACTTCTGAAATGCCCCGATGGGAATTTGAAAATTGATCGTTGGCTATCAAAATTGTTGACGTCGATATAAAAACCAACGAACAAAAATTATGAATCAAACATTAAAACGTACAATTATTTCGGTTTTTACCATTTTTTTTTTTAAATATAAAATATAAAATTTGTCCACGATCCATCATTTGGTGACCCCGGGATCTATAATTATCACTTGGCTATTCCGATACCAAGGGCGGTAAAAGAATGATGTCCTGCGACTTACCGACGGTAATAAATTCCAGTGTCTATGATATTATAGTATTTATTTCTCCGGAATAATGTTCGTATATCTATAGTCACATCAGCTACTCAGTATTTAAAACCATCCTCACTAGCGTGCACCGAGAACAAGCAGATATTATATTATATATTTACCACTAGATTAAAAACCTTTTAAAATAAACAACCACCGACTTTTTTATGATTCTAAGGACGATTTCCTTTCTTCCCTGGTATTCATATAATATATTTTTTAGTAACGTTCAATTCAATATATGAAACAATTACCATAGTATACCGGAACCAAGATAATGGATCTACTCTTTCGAGCCTCGACCGCAACCGATGTCCACGGGTTTTTCCCCCACTTCCGGTTCTTCCTGGGACAATATCGTCCCTGTATAATAATATATACACACATATATTGTATTTGTTTTTTTTTTTTACAAACATACCCTAATAAAATAGAGAAGGTCGTAAAAACCATGTCGCCGCTATTAATTTTTATGTTACTCTCCGGTTCTCTCTTTTCCGTACGCTCCTCTATACGCGAATCTTTTTGCCATTTATTTTTTTTTGTTCGCGGAAACGGGTTACGCGTGCTGGTGTATTACATGCATTATGCATTAAGGCACAAGTGGACCTACCCAAAAAAAATATCAAGTACGCAAACTTCATATTGTGTCTATACATAGTCTACACACATATAATACAATATATTATAATATAGATTATATACTTGTTTGTATTATATTTTCGTGACAGAAGTGCCCGAAATTCGATTTAAAATTGTAAATTATATGTTATATATTAATTTATATGATAATACTCGGCAATCGAACACGTCGGCCTTTCGATTATATAAATATCATAAAATATTTTCATACCATTATAATGATAATAACCGTCATCAAAGTTATTCGTGTACTTATAAATAATATATGATCGATGTATACCAAATTGCCAACACGTATATATACGTATACCTTGCTTCAGACGCAATCTCAACAGCAAAAACTCGATGGAAGCCCGACTGCAGGAAATCGCATTTTGTCTACATTTGGGAATCATTTAAATAATACTGTATATCAAGCGTACCCAAGTTCCCCCAACATGCCTACAAATTAAATCGTGTCAACACAAGCAGCTTTATTATAACGAAAAGCCATAATATAATATATTATACCAAAACAGTCGTCAATAGTTCAAAAATGTGCGTCCATGTATAGCTGCGGGTGCGTGATGCAGTATTAACAAAAATACGAAAAAAATCGACTTTCAACAACTGTGGCGAGAGAACTGTGGGTGTTATAATATACAATCGAAAAGTGTTTCTCTTTTTCGTTTGGTTTTTGTATTTTAAATATTATTTTACTGCCACTGCGTCGTATCGTATGCGTATCGCTTAGAGAGCATCTCCCATCCGATCCGTTTCTTCCACCACTACCACTACCACCACCACCACCACCACCACCACCTTCTCTCATCCCTTAGCCGCAAGTTTCCGCCCGACGCGAGTTTTATAATAACATTAACCGCGGCCGCGTGTATTATATCCGTGCGGCGGCTTCTGGGAAGTGTCACCGCCTGCGCGCGCGTGCCCAGGCTAAGTGCAAAATTGAGTTAGCTCTATATATACGCGCACGCGGTGGTGTATAATACAGTTTTAGTTCGGTCGGCAGAGACCTATAATAATAATAATAATAATAATAATAATAATAATATACGCGACGAAATTATTATATTATTCTACATAGGGTCGACACATATACATTTATAGACCGCGGTGGCAAAAACAACCGTGAAAAATCGTTGTATACGCCCGTCCCGCGAACAATGAGTCTCGATTATATTAAATAATATTATTATGCGATTTCTAACGCACACGCGGAAGGGTTGGCCGCCGACGGGACCGTGCATAATATTGATAAATTCGTGAAAATTCTACAGCGATATATCTGGCGGTTTCAATCCGACCTGCTAGTCACATTGTACAATGACACCTAATATATATGCATATTAATATGATATCATAAATAATATTATCGTGTACGATATATAATATTAATTTATTATTAGTACCTGCAGGGCAATTGTACGACACTTGGTATTTTAATAATAATATTATACTATTGGTAGTGGTAGGTGGAGTGTAATATACCGCGGTTGCTTATGTGTAAGTCGTAACAGTCACCTACACAATATTTTTGTGGCCGTTGGTATTATGAAGACGAGCTCCTGGATCGTTATAAACAGCACGCCACATAGGTATTTTTATTCAGTATGATACACAATAATAATATTATAATATCGTGTGGGGACTGTAACCTGGTCGGCGGTGTGGAGGGTCCGGCCGGGGCGGGGAGGGACGGGTGAATTAATAATCGTATCTCGCCGACCGCGCGTCCAAGAATAATAATATATTTTCGAGTCTGTGTATTTTTTCGGATAAAAAAATGACTCTAAACTCTTTGTGATTCGTGTACAGCGGATCGTATTTTCGACTCTCCGTGATTTTGGCTCAGGTGTAGACATTGACAAACTGCTATGTACTAAAAATACCACTTTAGATACGGAGATTTTGGGGTCGAAAAAATACACCGCTTTAGAAACACAGTTCTAATTTAACGACTCGTTTGTTCCAATTAAGCTGCTCTGAACTTTGCGTTTTTAATGCGTCGAGACAATATTGTCAACGCGATCACTGTGGCGTGTTAATTGAACTGTTTTAATAGCAACCTAACTAATTTTTTTCTAGCAGTTATGCATTTTTTCGTTTTTTTTTTTTTAAAAAAAAGCGCTGAACATTATTTTCAATACTCGGACTAAACAGCGTCAGCGATATTAACATTTCACCGCGTTCCACGCCCGGCATGCAAATACTTTTCAGAGTCGTTTTTAAAAGCACCGGAAACAATGGTCGGACCTACATGAATAGACTAAAATCTGCATTTTCTATATACTGCATACACGGGACGTGGAAAGGACGAAAAAAATTACAATCTTCCAAACACAATGATAATATATAATGTTATGTGTGTGTCTGCGCGTATATTATTACTATAATAAATAATCACTATATAGCTCCTTTGTTTTAAACGGGATCGTGTCCCGGAAGTAGGGCATCTTCATATGCATATAATGACCAACGGTCATTTTCCATATCCTGGTGATGACCACCGTCGCGGGGAGAAGGCCTTTCATATGGTAAAAAGGACGCATTGTTTTTTGCAGCACTCGGAGGTGTGCCTTTTACAGAAAACCAAATGCGGTGATCACGAATAACTCAAAATGCTCGTGGTCTCCATTGCCATCATACAAATATAATTACCTATATAATATTATGATGTGATATTATAAATATTGAGTCATCGAATGTTACATTTTGTCCATTTTCAGGTATTACGAAACTGGAAGTTTCAAAGCCGGAGTAATCGGAGGTAGCAAACCCAAAGTGGCAACTGCGCCTGTTGTAGATTCCATAGCGAACTACAAGCGAGAGAATCCTACTATGTTTGCTTGGGAAATCCGAGACAGACTGTTGGCTGAAGGAGTTTGTACTCAAGACAACGTACCCAGCGTTTCGTCAATCAATCGGTAAGTGAAATTGATCATTACTTTTTTTATAAAATAGATTAAGGCATAATGTGATAGTTGTATACATATTATTAAAACTCTTTAATAATAGGGGTAAGTAATTTTTCTCTCGATTTATGAGTAGAGGTAGATTATTATTATATTGAGTATAAATGTATAATAGTATATAGGAATAACACTCGTACCTGCTATAATAACCCAGTGTATATTATGTGGACATTTGTATTTTAAATAAAATAATGATAATTAAAGACGAATACGGAATAACAATTATTTCATTGCATGTTTTTAAAATTTGATTTTATATTTAATTTGATTTATTATAAATATTTGCAACATTTCTTTTCAAATAGCCCTGATAATAATAGCCCATATGTCAAAAATATCATTTTATTCCCTTTATTTTAAATTCAACAACTTGTTTGATTAAGATAAAGACCACTGGGTTATTACAGTAACTTGATCGAGGGGCCATTAGAGATTACATGATTAGATGGTGATAGAAAGCAATAACAATAAAAAGGGTGTAACGCCCAGGGATTGGAATATGAACGGAGGGGGGGGAGCTGGTAGTATATATGTTTTTATTAATCGCAAAGTAGTAGAAGCGACTGCACCCATGGGATTCGACGGCGTTTTAATAAAATTCCTTACCAATACAACTCTATAATAAATATATATGCGACTGAAGCAAGCACATTTACTATACAGGAGAGTTATAATACCGATATAATATTATGTGGCTGTATCAAACGAAAGTATGAAACTTTTTACTTTTGAAGTCCGACATGATTGTACGATTTGTCGTAGATGATAATAATAATACTGTCCAATTGTCAATGCAAATAGCACTTTATTCCATAGCCTACTGGTATCCGAAAGGTGGTAGTCGGTATATAGGTAGTATGTGCTAACAAATCAAACGTGGATTCATAAGATTCGTCATGGAACAAAGAAGGACCTACAGTGAAAACGACAACAGGAAATTACGTAATGGTATCTTGGCGTTAAGAAATTTTCAATTCAAATTACTGATAATAACCAATACTATTATAATATTATATGTAATAATATAATATAAAATTAAACTATAATAATATCACACCCCAAAAAAAAAATACCAATTACATTGGGTATGTACCCACGTTTAAAAACTTTTTGAACACACATACAGAAATTAATAATTACTTCATATATTGTACAAATAAGAATTCATATTTTATTCCATAATATTACACTGTAGAATTCTCAAAATTCAAAATAACTATTAACATGTAAATATTTTTACATTTTTTCATAAGACGTTTTAAAAAAATTTGAAATACTTTTAAGCCAAATAAATAGTTAAAATTACCGAGAATTGAGTTGTAAAACTATCATTAATTAAACACGATACTATTATTATTTATTGTACTAATGATATTATACACGCCCAATCAAGTACAAAAATACACGTGAAAACACCCCTTACAGTAACACGATACATGATAAAATAATGTTCATCGACTATGTCTATTTTGAATATTCGGCGCTGGAAAAAAAATCCGGAGTAGACCCTTGAACATCGAATAATACACAACACATTACACTGTTTAAGCTTCACTAAACTCGCATTGTTATCGATCATCGTCGTTGTCGTCGTCCGAGGCTGTTAATCATTGACGGCCAGTCGAAACGGAAAGACCGGCGGCGGCGGCACATCTGTTGTGCTGCGAAAATCATCGGGTCGTGTTATTATTATTAATATCATTATCTTCATAAAGTCGAGGCGGAAACGCGCAACCTGTTGTGTGCGCGTTTTTCACACCCTCGCACTTCATGTCAGAGAGGTCTTTTTATTCCAGTGGCGGGCGCGCGCCCCGGGCATGTATATATACACACACACTCAGTGTACACACCCGTACATACGGCCATTTATCATTTCCGTGCGATTGAGTCGAAAAAGGCTAATCTGAAAACGATAACACTCTGCGCACGGAATCGTGATGACTCGATGACTCAATGACCCGTCCCTTTCGTTTAACGGCGCGCACCATTCGAAAATCACATTTCACAGTGGCGAGTTTCGACGTAACAGCAGCAGCAACTGTATTATTATAATAGTGGCTCAAGGCGTTCAAATCGAGAGCGAGCGTCAGAGTCAAAACACCACCCGCGCACAACTGTTTACAAGGTTCAGATATGGATATAACACGAGTACCTGCGAAAATCATATTATACGAGTGATACGATTCCTCGTCAACAAGTATATTATAATATTGTTTAACATGGATAACGCTGCAGTTATGTTCAACAAACGCGCTGGATCGCAGGAGCTGTTTTGGCGGACACGGTCGAATACGGCTGCACGAGAGTATATATAATTGTGTGCACGTACAGGAAAACGAATGTAAACCGTGTATATATTATAAACATATATATGTGTGCATGCGTGTGTGTGAGTGTGTGTGTGCTTAAAGAAAATAGAAGAAAAAAACACTTTTGTCGAACGTAGTCGTAAAATATAATATATATATATATATATATATTATATGTATACGCGCACACGCCGACACGGCAAATGGGAAAAGAGACGTGCGCTGGATTCTTTGCGATATCGATCTCTCCCTTCTTTTTTTCTCTCTCGACCCTTTGAGCAGCCATTCACCCCCGTCGGCGTCTTCTCCTCCAACCAAGGCACTTTTCTCGACTTCCTCCTTGACACACACACACACACACACACACACACACACACACACACACACAAACTCGCATCCACACACCGGCTATGCCGCCTGCCCGCCGCCTTTCGTTTCGACCGGAAAACCGTGGAAAATTGTACCCCTTTGGAGTTTTTCGCGTGCGACAGCTAGCCAGAATCTCCGCGCATTTTACCAGTCACTACATGTTATACCATCATGCGAACACCGTATGGGCGTTATGCGCTGTTTCCATCGGTTTTTATTGCTCGATAATATAAAGGTCGCCGTGTCTAATGACGCCGTACTTGTGGTCGAGATGACAATCTACCCCAATAACTGGCCCTCTCCCTGTCGGAGCGTTTGTGAAAATCCGACGACGATGGTTTATTAAATGTGACAAATCGACCGAGGGTGTGGACAGTACATCATCGTAAGTAAAATATGCAGTGATCCGAAGATGTTATCTGCGTCACATATGTCGGGTTTGCAACGTTTCAAGCATCGAGCTAGTACGAGGGCGGCTATATGCGTGCGGTATCCGATGACAAAGTACAACGAGACAATTTAATTACCACGTTCATTATAGATACCGTGGCGTACAAATAGATAAATCGAGAGTGCCATACTACATAATATATATATGTAGGACGTAGGCATTGTCGCCGAGAGAGCCGAATATAAATATTGGCTCAGTTGTATTTTTTTTTTTATCTATCGAGCGTTTCGTACACGGCGAAAACTAGACACTGAACTGGAGGGGAAAATAATAAAAACACACGTAAGCACAATGGCGTTTTCCAATCTTCCCCTCTCCAGTATCCACTCGAAAACCGCAGATTTGCCACGGTAAACTGAACCCGCGTCATGCTAAACACTTTAACAACATTATATAACCACAAACGTCACACCACAAAATGTGTCCTATAGTGTCGCAATAATATGGCTGAACGAATATAATATGCTCGAATATTAAATTCGTGAAATTTCATTCTTGTATTCTTGTACTTACTACATGCTCAATATGGTAAATATATGTATAAATATACGCTGCAGTTATACCAGTATGATGCTGTGGATCAAAATATATGTGTCCGAAATTTGTGTCCAAAAGTATTTGTCATTTCGGGTTATCCTTTTTTACATTTTCATGATTAAGTATTTTAATCTATTCATATATACTACGAAAGTAGAACTGAATCTAAAATAACCTCTAATAAAATCTGATCCGATATTTAGAGATAGAAAAGGTTTTTCGTTATATTAATTACAAGATATTTTTGATCTTAATTTATAATAAATCCTTTTTACTTAGGTAAATACGAATTATGAAATTAATAGAAGCATGAAGATTTCAATCTAAATATATAATAAGTAGGCAATAACTTGATAATAAAATACAAATAAATATTATGTTATTCTTTTTTATGGTAAAAATAATTACAATATAAATATTTTTATACGGATATGAAATAAGTTTTATTCTCAAAACATATAATAATAGTTCATAGGAATATCTTTACATTAAAATATATTCATATAATCTGTATAATGGTGTGTGTTTTTCTTTTTAAGTATTAAAAAAATGAATTAGCCAATAATACTACTGGCTTATTTCGGTTTAAGCCGAAGCCTTATTATTTTTAAGAATTGAAATCTATAATCTTACCTCTATAATTTTAAGTACCTAAGTACCTATATTTAAAGTTATCTCGCTGGATAGATATAAATAAAAAATGTAATTAAGAATAAGAAACTAGTTAGAATATTTTGTTGTGACTTATTATCAACAAAAACTGTAGTTCACAGTTAGATTAGTAGATTTACTAATGATTAGTTTGCAAAAATTTACAATCGTTTGGGCATATATTCTAATATTTTCTACAAGCTATACTTAGGTACCACACATTTTATATTATATATTTCAACCAAACAAATAAGGACACCCATAGGTGTATGTCTTATCCCTTATACTTTTGAGCTATACGTATTGCGTCATACATTCAATATAATATGACATGACTTTTATGAATCTAGAAAAAAAGTTGTCTGAAAATCTTTCATTAATTTTTCTTGTATATCTAATATAATATTATGTTGACGTGAATGTTAAAAATACGACTGAGAATAAAAAATAAAAAAAAACACCTCGGTCCATTTTTTTTTTTGAGGGAAGCACTATAAGTTTTTCAACGAGCTATAAAAACATATAGCGAAAAGAGGGCACCTAATATAATGTAATTTTCCATGTACGCAAACTATATTGTACACGCATAATCCGCGATTACGACAACGGTGTATGTAATACGCGGGTCTGTCACT